AGACTTCTATTTAATTGGTCCTAGTCATGTGACCTCGCGTCAATATCGTGCGCCCTCTAAATGACATCTTCGCCACGAAACTCTCAAACTATCCAAAAAGCGTGGGACTAGTCGTTGAATTTCCCCCAGGGAGGCTCATCAGCTGTCGCACTATGCTGGTTGTCGCCATCTACAGCTCGGGTTTGATGTCGATCCATCACAACCCACGCGTTGAAGAATGAAGTCGTTCTTGGAGCGCGCAAAACGCAAACGGACCCCTGAGCCGGACGAGGATACCGGGGATGGCGACGAGCCCACGGAGGTCAAGCTGGCGATGCTGGCATCTCTGCATCCTGGACTAGAACAGGAAGTTCTCCTGGATGTCCTTCTCGCCCATGACGGGTGTGTACCTGCCGCCGCATCCTCTCTCCGCGGCCAGAACCAGCACGGGAGAAAGAAAAGTGCCGGCGTCGTAGGATACCAGCAATCCATGACCCAATTTGCAGTCTCTAGTAGTGGATCAAGTCCTACGAAAAAGAGAATCAAGGCTAAAAAAGGGAGTACCCTCCATTTGTACGATCCCGAGGATGTTGCGGAACATACTCCCTGCACAATCGTCCATAACTTCTTGCCTCCAGACCTTGCCAACGATCTTCTAAAAGAGCTCCTTAACGAGGCCGAGACATTTGAAAAGCAGTCTTTCAAGCTGTTTGACAACGTTGTATCAAGCCCTCACACGGCTAGCTTTTTTGTCGAGAGTTACGACGAGATACAGAGTCAAAAAACTGAATATCATTACAACGGAGCCCGCTTAACTGTGAGATCCTACCTTTTCCTTCTAAGCAATCATACTGGGCATGCAATCGATTGTAGCTGATCCATTTTTCCCTTTACGTACAGGATGTCCGGAGAATCACTCCAGGGCTCATCAGAGCGAAGCCCCTTGTCCAAGAGGCAGTCAACAAAGAAGTCCAGCATCGCATCGCAACCCGGTATCCCGGGGGCAAGAAGCTAAAATACCAACCGCCTCACACTTGGGTCCCGAATTCAGCATTTGTCAACTGCTACGATGGGCCACAAGAGAGCGTTGGCTGGCACTCAGACCAGCTAACGTATCTGGGTCCCCGGGCTATCATAGGCTCTCTCTCCCTCGGCGTCGCACGGGAGTTCCGTGTCCGCCGCGTCGTACCCAAAGATGATGAGAAGTCGGCCGAGGATCCTGATGCCGAGGGCCAGATATCCATCCATCTGCCCCATAACTCGCTGCTGGTGATGCACGCCGAAATGCAAGAGGAATGGAAGCATTCCGTGGCGCCATCACTGTCCATCGATCCGCATCCCATCTCGGGAAATAGACGGATCAACGTCACGTACCGCGATTACCGAGCGAATATGCATCCTCGGCATACGCCCAAATGTCCCTGCAAGGTTCAGTGTATCCTACGGGTGGTCCAAAGGAAGAAGGAGAATTTTGGGAAATATTTTTGGATGTGCTACGCTGGCAACGTGCCTGGAAAGTCCGGGTGCAGCTTCTTCCAGTGGGCGGAATTTGATGATGATGGAAGGCCGAGGCCTTTTTCGAAACCCGCACACTCAAGATAGTTGGATAGGCTGGACCAGTATCAACGTTGAAGATTGACCATCTCAAGAGGAAGAGAGCACCTTGGCCGCTGTTGTGAAACCAATTGTCGGCAATCCAACTAGGTGCATTCGACACGCTGACTGGCTTAGCGACGAGTGCAAGGAAAATCAAGGCAGCCCGGTGGCATGGATAGTCAATGTTAGCTGGAAAACCCCGACTTGCAACTCGAGGTTGAATTATCTGTGCCTGCCATCACTCAGGTACTGTTCCTACTGTGACCCAGCCGCACAAGCTCTTGATCCTCCATCACAAGATACGTCGTGTAAGCTTCTGAAGTTTCTCGGGAATTGGCGAGACAGCTGAAGAGTAGGTCTTTCTGTTTTTGCATGATTTCAAATCAAATTCAATTGAGGTTGATGGCGTTGTGTAAGAACTGCCTCGCTGATACACTAACCCCGCGATTGTTTTGCATCAAACGGGCAAGGTGAGGGGCTGATTGCAGCCACTTTTTCCAACATTCATTCTCATCTCTTACATATCCACACACAAACAACATCAGCCAGGTTTATATTACGGTAACTCCAACTGGCCTTTCCCCTTCTTTCTCTCCTCCCTTCAATTATTCGTGAAAGAGCAAGATCACGGGAATTTGCCGTCGATTCTACCCTAAACCTTTTTCTTTCCATCATACCAATCTAGTAAGGGCTACGTGAGGGACCATACAGGTTATCGAGAGATCGCCAAATCTCAGGAATTATTAGTACTCGTTTAACTCAGATCCGTGAGCCATGTCGGAAGCACTCGAGTTCGCTTCGTCCTCGGCGGCTCTTCTTGAGCCATACGTCCCCCCAGCATCTTCTCAATCAACAGCCGCGAAACCCTTTGTCACTCTTACATTTGCGACCTCATTGGACTCCTCGCTGTCTCTCGCTCCGGGCGTACGCACCCGTTTGTCTGGCCCAGGATCCAAAGCCATGACACACTATCTTCGCTCTCGACACTCGGCTATTCTGGTTGGCATCAACACCATGCTGGCCGACGACCCGGGACTCAACTGCCGGATTGCCGGAGCTTCATCCCAGCCTCGACCGATCATTATTGATCCGCACCTGCGTTGGGTGCCGAAGCATTCCGACAAGGTTCTGCAAATCTGCCGAGCTGGTCAAGGTCTGGCCCCCATTGTCTTGACGGGATTGCAACCAGAAGAGTGGCCAGAGGGCAGCATCTCGATTCTTACTGAACATGGTGGGAAGTTCATCCACGTGGAGCCAAAGAAGACCGCATCTGGTGGACGAGGCCGCTTTGACTGGCACGATATCCTGCACGTGGTCTCCCAGGAAGGGTTATCAAGCCTAATGGTCGAGGGGGGGGCTCAGATCATAAACTCCCTTCTAGATAGCCAGTACCACTCACTGGTAGACTCTGTAATCGTCACGATAGCCCCCACCTGGCTCGGAGAGGGAGGCGTTGTGGTATCGCCGGCCAGAGCTCATGACGAGCAAGGTGTGCCTATACCGGCCGCAAGGCTATCAGACGTGAAATGGCATCCCTTTGGAGAAGACGTGGTTCTCTGTGGCAGACTAGACAAAAAATGAACAACTATTCCCATCTAGCTTGGCTCAATAACGATCTAGGAACGGGGTTTGATTTTCTTGGCCTCGTTGAAGGTGCCCCACAGGGCGAGTCTGAGCCGATCTCCAAACATCTGTGGGCACGCAAACTTGCCTTGCCTCTCAGTGAGAATGCCAATTCCCAAATTCTGCGTAACATCACGCTCGTCGATCTTCGATATTCTGCCTGATTCAATCGCAGGCCTCGACTCACAGCGCCTGCATACCACCCGCCCGCACACACACAGAGCATAAGAGCCGCCCATCCTACGTCACTCGCCATGGCGCCCCGCATCACCATCCTCGGGTCCCTCAACATCGACCTGGTCTCCTACGTCCCTCACCACCCCCTCCCAGGCGAGACCCTGACCTCCAATGGCTTCGCCTCCTCCCCGGGCGGCAAGGGCGCAAACCAGGCCGTCGCCTGCGCCAAGCTCTCCCGCACCTCGTCCCTCTCGGGCGCCACCGCCGACGTCTCCATGATCGGCGCCGTGGGCAACGACGCCTTCGGCTCCGTCCTCCGCGACAGCCTCCAGTCCTACGGTGTCGACGTCTCCGCCGTGGCCGTCCGGGAAGCCAGCAAGACGGGAGTCGCCGTCATCGTCGTCGACGAGCCCTCGGGCCAGAACCGCATCATCCTCTCCCCCGAGGCCAACCACTCCCTCCTCCCGAGCCACTTCGCCCAGCTCCCCGCGCCCCTCCCCGACCTCCTCATCATGCAGCTCGAGATCCCCTTCGACACCGTCATGCAGGCCCTCGCCGCCGCCAAGGCCGCCGCCGTCCCGGTCCTCCTCAACCCCGCCCCCGCCCAGGTCCTCCCCGCCGAGGCCTACGACGGGCTCGCCCACCTCGTCGTCAACGAGACCGAGGCCGCCCTCCTCTCCGGCAAGCCCGAGTCCGAGCTCGAGTCCCCCGAAGGGGTGCAGCGCGTCGGCGCGCTCTTCCTCGACAGGGGCGTCCAGAACGTCATCATCACCCTCGGCGGCCGCGGCGTCTACTACGTCAACGCCGCCGGCCAGGGCGCCCTCGTCCAGGCCGAGAAGACCGTCGTGGTGGACACCACCGCGGCGGGCGACACCTTCGTCGGATCCTACGCCCTTGCCGTCGTTGGCGCAACCGGCACGCCCTTTGACATTGACGTCGCCATCAGAGCTGCCAACAAGGCTTCGGCAAAGACGGTGGCGCGGAAAGGTGCTCAAGTCTCTATCCCATGGAAGGATGAGCTGGAGTGAGAAATGTTCATCATGGGGGGAATGGGAGAAAAAGATAGATCTAAAAGAAATGAGATTCAAAATCCTACACAAGGCCAAATAGTAAATAGAAAGAAAAAAAAATTGAACCAAAGACAATAATACCATTGATTTGCTACCATGTACAATAATCAAACGAATGAGTTGATCTCATACACGATACTCAAAAAATATCCTTCTAGCTATCATTCTTTTCCAAGTGGTGGCCAGCCCTGGATTGTGATCATCCAACACTAGAACCAGCTCGCCCACGCCCATCTTCCGGTGTCTTTCTTCCCTTTGCCTTTGGCTGTGGTTGACATTGACTTTGCCCCCTTTCCCCTCCTATCGTAACTATCTGAGATGAGATCTGTCAGGTCTGGAAAGAGGCTTTTGAGTCCATCCCTCCCGAATGAACCTCTATTCCGTACAAAGGTCTCGCTGTCCCCAGACGAGCCAACATCACTTCCACAACTTCTGCTCTTCGGTGATCTGGATCCTTTACTAGTTTCCTGCCTATAGCTCTGTCCTGAATCTGTGGAACAATTGCTACTCGGTGAATTGCGAGACACCTCCGAATCGGGATTCTCGATATCGCATTCAGAGCTCCATTTCTTTTGCAGGCTCGCTTGCCTTACTGGAACCACTGGTAACTTCTGATAAGCCGAGGGTAAGCCAGCTTTGGAAGGCATGATCCTTTCCAAGGACAAGGGTGAACTGGATCTGGCGGCCTTTCTTGGGCATGACCTTGTAGCTAGCATTTTCCCCATTGCTTCGCTTGCTTTGCTGCCACCCCAGTGCCTCCTGACCAGCTGGAACAAAGGGTTGGACCAAGGTGCAGGCCTAGGTGACCACGGAGACGAGCCCATTTGACGCTTCAGACTAGCTGTGGCCACTGTCTCCAATCGACTGTGCATGTTGGATATCCCAGTTTCGCTTCCATCAGACTCTGGGAAGACCGAGTGAGCATACGACACCTTGACGTGCATATAATTAAATTGTGAGCTCCCCAACTGGATTTCGAGGTCCTCGATCAACTCTTCAGACTTCTGCCGAACGTGCCCCTGGACTGGTCTCTGCAAGCACTTCTGATCCGCGTCGATCCGAATCTCAGCTAACAGCAGGATGCTGGATCCAGCATAAATCGTGCTTGGACTGTTACTATCGGTTCAGGTTGCCATCGGAAAAGAAACTTACGTTGGGAAAGTCTGTTCGCGCAAAACCTGAATCACAGTCGTCTGGGCAGCGGGCAACACCTCAACAGACAAGTCGTATAAACAACCAAACTCAAAGAAACGGTCTATCAAGCAAATGGATTAGGCAATCAAGCTTCGCTGACATGAATCGAAAGCACAAACCTACCCAGTTCATGCTCAATAAATGTCCCCGTCACCACTCCGGTTCGGTCGCAGGCTGCCACTTTGGAGGAGAGTGTAGAGAGTCTTCCCGAAACCTCTATGGCTGCCCATATCGTTCTCTGGCAGTCTTGGAGAGTATTGAATTCTGCTGTCACAACCACGTGTGGGCAAAGTGTGCATGATCTGTTTTGAAGGCGGTCGAGAGGATAAACAGAGGTGGGCGACGGCAGCCTTGAGCTCTGATGGATATCCTGCGAACATGCTGACGTAGGGCTTTCAATAGACTGGTCATCCGCTTGAACCGCGTCTAACGTCTCGAATTTCAGTTCTGGCGAGCAAGAAGAAGCAGACGGCACGCGTGCACACTGCATCCTCAGCCCAAGATGGCTCTGGATCGATGGGCGAGGCTGGCGTGTCTTTCGCACGTTCAAGGTCTGGGAACCAAGCATCCCTCCTTTGCAAACCATCCCATCTTCCCAGTGGTATTTACCAGAAAGAAGATCGCTCTTGTTCGGATTGGCAACAGCATGGGGGTTTTTCTCCAAGGCGAATCCGCCGTGGTGTCTCTCGCGCTTCCTCTTCATTATCGTCAAGCATCCGTCGTCACCATCGCACTCTTGCATGCTTGCGTTTGATCTTAGACTGAGGCTCCTGGGGCTGTAGAACGAGTCTTCACTGCTAAATCGCTTCACAATTCGCAGAGGGCTGGGCTTCCCCGACCGATCTCGTTTCTTGTGTTCCTCCAAGTATGAATCTGGCGTGCTCGACGCCATGGCTGCCGGTACGCTGATTTGCTACTTGCAGTATGTTTGATAGATTTCAGGTGTCGCAACTCAGCTTCAAGGCAATAAATCTGCAGTCGTTCGAAACTTTTCAAGATGTAGGCCACTAATTAATAGATAATGATGGCAAAATACGGCAGGGCTGATTAGCATGATGGTGAAATGACGGGAAAAGAAATATATATGTTTCGCCCGTTCTGTGTACTTTCAATTCAATGTTATGCATGTTATGCATCATTTCGACAGAGATTAGGAAGTGACAGACGACAACAAGATGACAGTCACACAAGATCAAAAGGGAAAGAGCCAAGTTGAAAGTCAAGGAATGATATATGGGTATCAACATGCTTCTAATGTAAAACAAGCGTGCAGAGAGTTTAAGCATGTTCCTGCCAAGAGCAACAGCGACCGGGGAATTCATTGTACACCTCAGTACCGTACCTAACTTCCTGATCTCGGCCAGATGAATGGACAAGGCTATTGATCTCACGGGAGAAACATCAAGCTGGACTTCCAAGAACACGCATGATGTTTTCTTTGACAGTCTCAATCTCCGGTTCGTCCATAGGAACGAAATTAATCTATAAAATAGTACAGGTTAGCTCTAACATCTCGAACAACATACGTGACAAAAACCAACTTACCAGATCCTCGGGTACAGTATTGGATCCTCCATAGAGGGCAGCCTCCGACAAGCACGTTGCAATCCCCTTCTTGACGCGGTCCTCCCACACACCATCCCAGTTCCACTCCCCTGGGGCTCTGGTCCCAGAGGAGTCGTTCCCTGAGTCAGCGGCAGGATCTGGTGGCGGCTTCGTGCCATCATCCTGCAGAACGGGATCACCGATGCTACTCTGCGCTGACCTGCTAGATTTGCGGCGGTGCGTTCTCCACGCGTGCCAGGCGCCAGGGTTCCCCGCGGCCTCTATCGGCACCGAGTCCAGGACGTCCCCGTCGTCGAAGGTGCTCCGAATGTACTTTAAGATATCGTAGACAGACGGGTAGCGCTCAGCGCTTTGACTCGTGCCCAGCTCGGGGACCCTCGGCGGGCTCGCATGTACCGAGCGACCTCCTGGGTATTCCCCTGTGGCTTCCGGCGTTGCCTTTTCGCCTCTACTGAACCACACCGGGAACCCATGCCGAAGGTTGAAGCCTCCCAGAGGCAGTCGCTCGTCATCAGTTGCGCTAACGGCGCCGGTGCTCTGAAGATCATGCGTATACATGTTCGTCGTCAAGGGTGTGATGAGCGGGTGGAAGATGTCGGTGGCGAATGAGACCACCGGAGGCATCTCGGGGTAGGACAAGGGGAAGGAGATGTGAAATCGCAGCACAGCTGGCGCATAGGGTCCTTTGTGCCGGCATCAGCTCACATGTCACGTAGCATCCGCACTTGATCACATCCCAAAGCTTACCATCTCGCACGAAGAGGATTGCTGACCAGATTGTCGGGTCGGTAGGTGTCAAGCTTACGAAGACTCCCTCTGGACACGCCTGCTTCAGTCCTGCGCTAGCTTGGTGTGTTAGTTGGAGGCTTCCTTTGCCAGCAGAGCTCACGCCCTGTAGATGCCGAGGCAAACTAACAATTCAGATTGAAGCCTCTGTTTTCGAAACGAGGTCAGGATTTGTGGATTAACTGGCGCCATTCTGCTGCTAATTATAAAGTTCACATGTCTTGATAGTTGTAGGTAAGGGATGTCTTGGAATGGTGGTGGTTTATGAAGCTGGATTATGCAGTGTCACCTGTATAAGACGGTTGGGGAAAGCGGTGAGCCAGGGCGGTCTGGCATTTTGTCGGACGAAACACGACCCCGCGGCAATCCGCGGGGCTTTGGTTAGATGGTGGGGTTATCAGATCATGCCGATGATATGTGACTCATTTATCCAAAAAAGCAAATGTAGAGGAGGGAAAACATGAGTGTCCATGGTTGGAGTGCACTATCCAAGAACAAATACAAAGTATTCTTAGATCTTAGAGCATACTGTATGCAAACGTAAAACTTTTCGTTTTCATGATATCATAATATATCCCGTCATCCGAGGGCTACTCACCCTAGGGACGACCAGGGACATGTGTAAATCAATTTAAGCACTGGACGAGCCACCTTATTTCCCAAGACGTTGCTCGATCTTAGACTTCTCCTGGTCTCTGACCTGTGTCAAGTCATCCCTAGTAGCATTGTACGCAGCAGTGACTTGGTTGAAAGGGTTGTCCGGGCTCTTCTCGAACTCCTTCCTGATGCGTGTCTTGCGCTGATCTAGTCGCAACCCAACTCCGCTGCCATCCGCCTTCATCTCTTGTAGCCTTCGTTCCTCGTACTTGGCATAGGCAGCAGCGAACCGACGTTCTGGATGTTTGTCGACCTTGGAATCGTCTGAGGCGTTGGTGAGGGACAGCGCATCGAGGGCATTGTCGATACCAGAGGCGTTTAGACTAGTAGCCTTGTTGTCACCGTCGAGCTGGGAGAGATCAAGGCCACGAGACTTCTTCGCGGCGGTCTTGCCCTTCTTGGGCTCATCCCTTCCGCCGGCGGCTTCTTCGTCTTCCTTCACGAGGGCATCCTTCTCGGCCTTCTTCCTGGCCTGCTCGGCCTTTCGAGCTGCTTCGGCTTCCCTGTTGCGTGACAGCGACTCGTCAGTGTGATGCATTTCCCACGGAAAACAGGGCCAACGTAGGTGTGGGTGAAGGGGGAGGGGGATCAGGCGCATTGCAGCCTCACTTTTTGGAAGTATCCTTGGCTCCCTTCTGCCAACTAGCGGACTCGGCGGCTTCGCGCTTCGCGTCCTCTTGAGCGGCTTTCTGGGCAGCGGCCTCGGCCTTTTTGGCGTTGCCCGCTACCTTTCTGCTGTTCTCCCCCTTTTTACCAGCCATAGTTGTATTTTTGGAGATGTGCCCGCGACGACTAGGTGCCACTCGGATAGTGCGGCCAAACGAGGAGTTGTTCTGGATGGAGGTTCAGCCTGATACAAGGTCAGAGACAAGGTGGTGGTGGAGGGAGGGGTGCATGCATGCGGAAGCGGTGCGGACGCGATGCAGACGTACCTGGCCGGTCAGACGTGAGAGAAAATGGCACGCCACACACGCAATGCTTACTGGAATTATGTACACCCCTCCGGGATCACAAGCGTTAAATCGTGACTTATAGATTTTTAATCCTATGTAGCCACAATATGCAGCATTATATAATACTATTATATCCAATGTTCATTAGCAAGTGAGTACATAGGTACATAGTAAGTCTCTAGAAGTACTGCTGCTTAAAGCTAAACCCTCTTAGGTTAGTACTTGCTCATTTACGTTTGTGATCCCGGAGGGGTGCATAATTAATATTATAAAAAGTAAAAAGAATATAAAGATAATGTTGAAGATTTAAGAATTAAAATTGAATTGCTAAGAATTAATACCGTTTGGTTGACATTTGAATTATACCTTAACAAATCTGATCGCCTGGCCGTTCTTGCTTCTTTCTTTCTTTCCGGGAGTCGGTTTGTATTAGTGGAACTTGTAAATGAAGGCTAAATCAGATGTTGTCACCTTGCCAGAGATTGAACAACACCATCACACCCCAAGACACTGAGATTGCCGATGTCGGCCCACTCAGATTTTCCTATGAAGGAAGCCGCCGGCCTGCGAAGCTCGTGTCCGAAGAAGCCGCCGCGGTGCTGTATATCGCAGCCCAGGCTTCATGAAGTCGATGAGCCACATCTTCTGAAGGACCAAATCCGGTGGGGTGTAAGCTGTGAGGTCTTCCAAGGTACTTAAATAGAGACTTGAATACCGGGTAGTGCGTACAGATTATGTGCGGTCTTCATGGCTTGATGCCCACAACTTTAGGGCACCGGATCAGGGTAGCTCGCTATAACCCCTGTGGAAATCGTACAACACGCCGCTCCCTCCCCGATTAGTCACTGGCAAAGAAAACATCCCCCGTTATCGCAACACTCCTCCCTCCTCCAATCTTTCTCCCTCTTCCATCAATCAATTCGCCCAGTGTACATGCAGAACAGCTAGAGACACCATGTCGACATTTGGCAAACACTTTCGCGTGACGACGTGAGTCCTCTCCCTCTGCTAAACTGGACAACCTGCTGACCTCCATCGTCACAGCGCTGGCGAGTCCCACGGCAAGTTCATCTCATGCATCATCGACAATTGCCCGCCAGGCCTGGCCCTCGTTGAGTCCGATATCCAGCCGCAGCTCACCCGTCGGCGTCCGGGCCAGTCGGCTATCACCACTCCGCGCAATGAGAAGGACCGCGTGACTATAGGGTCTGGAACCGAGTTTGGGCGCACGTAAGATGACCCTACAGGAACTCATGATGCTTCATGCTAACAGAACGAAGCCTAGGGACTCCAATTAGGTTTGTCGCGTTTGCTAAAGCGAAGATAATATATTAACCGTTTCCAGTTTGATAGTGATGAACGAAGACCAACGCCCGCATGACTATGGCGCCAAGACCATCGATGTCTACCCGCGCCCTTCTCACTCTGACTGGACTTACCTCGAGAAGTATGGCACTAAGGCCTCATCTGGAGGCGGCCGGAGTAGCGCCCGCGAGACTATCGCCCGCGTTGCTGCTGGTGCTGTTGCCGAGAAGTGGCTGCGCGAATCCTATGGCATTGAGATTGTTGCTTTCGTTTCCTCAGTTGGCAACATCAAGCTCTTTGGAGATAGGCCGACAACCGATGGCGATGAGATCGACTCCCTTAGCAACCACCCTAAGTTCCTCGAGCTTGTTGACACTCTGACCCGCGAGAAGGTGGATGAGTTCCTTCCTGTGCGCTGCCCTGATGATGCTGTTGCGAAGCGTATGGAGGAAAGGATTGCTGAGCTCCGCGATCAGCATGATTCTACTGGTGGAACTATAACCTGTATTATTCGTGGGTGCCCCTCCGGCCTAGGCGAGCCATGCTTTGACAAGCTTGAGGCTACCCTCGCCCATGCTATAATGTCTATTCCTGCTACTAAGGGCTTTGAGATTGGCTCTGGCTT